CTGACTATTGACTAAAATAATCTGGAAAGGAATATATTGTCGACGCTTTTATTATCGACACTGGGTGAAGTTACTCTTACCGACGCTTTTGCCTAATAGTCGGGTAAAAATTTTGTTTTTATATATTACCACTCCCGACGATTTTTGAAATAGAAGGGAGAGATTTCTATTCCCGACTATTTTATTATATAGTCGGTAAAAAWTTTTGTTAATTTTTTTAAATTACCACTCACGACTATTTTTAGAAAAAAATTTGAATAGTAGACTTTACACCAATATTTTAATAAATTGTTGGGCRCTACTGTTTTTTATTTTTTTAAATATTACAATTCCCGACTATTTTTGAAATAGTCGGGASATATTAATATTCCCGACCATTCTAAAATAGTGTCGGTAATATATGTTTTTTTAAATATTACAATTCYCGACTCTTTTGAGAAAGATGAGGCTTCTAATGTTGGGGAAGAAGATATTRAGAAAGATGATTTCTGTAACGTCCCAAGTTTTCRAGTTATTTTTATTTTAAGATTTAAATTGTGCTTTGGATTTTYCSTTAAGGATAATTAAATTACTGGATCTTCTAATTTCAGAGATCTATTTTTGGGTAAATTAGAACTTAAAGTCCAATATCTCGTTAGATTGAGATGAATTAAGTTTTAAATTTTATTATTCTATTATGTATTCTCTAAAAATCTTTTACCCCTTTGAAAAAAATCTCCTTTACCCCTCCTTAACCCTAAATCCCTAACCATCCCTTTCTCTTCTCCACGCTGACCACCACGACGCCACAATCCCTAACTATCCCTTTCTCTTCTTGCACGCTGACCACCATGATGCCGTAGACCACCGCAAATCCCTGTCGAATCGCACGTTGTCGGAGGTTAATCGAATGGCATCGGTTCAATGCAACACGGGTGAGGGTCGAATCGACGCTTCAATTGACAATGACGTCGTGACGATTTTAAAACCGCGACCACCACTGACCCCAACGACCACCGCTTACCATCGCGAACGCCGCTGAACACCTCGAACGCTACTGATTACCGTGACCACCGCTGACCATCACTGCTGTTCGTCAATCTTGGAGTACTACCCCTTCCTATTTTTCATTTTTCATTCTTATTCAGGTCAATCTTGTGAAGTTATACAATTTGAAGGTTGGTGATTCTGTTAATCTTGCAGTATTTTGGTAATTSATGTTTTCAACATKGAGATGAAATKTATTAGCWAATATGCCAATCAAAYGTTGTTTTAGGTTCATTCTATCTAAAATGATTTATGATGCCTTGATTCTGCAATTGTTCAGTTTATGGATGGGATTGCCGAGTTGGTTTTGTGTAACTTGAATAAACTGAGATAAAATAGGTAAGGAAGTTTGTTTATTAGGTTCCATG